TTGAATTTATTGATTCAATAAATTTTTTAATGATACAATTAAAATGCGGCATTTTGTAAGCAAATTGCATGTGCAGCAACTACGCTAACATTTTCTATTTTACTCTTTGTTACTTTATTCAAATCGATTTTATAGAACTTTCTTCTATCCTATTATTAAGTAATGATCTAATTACTTACTAATAAGTAAACGAATAGTGTGAAGAGTTGAACTTTCACGTGTATAAATCAAATTGAGTGTTGAAAAGTAAGCTAATATTTTCAGTTAATTAAAACTATCATTGATGGTTTAATGTTGATATTATTAAGAAATGAAAATTTTGAATTATTTTTATCATGCGAAATTGCAAATTCTTGGATGATGTGATCATCCAATTTCCTAGGTAACAAACCTCGCTTTCGATTGCGACGAGAAACTGGCGGGTTCCAGAGTCTGCTTACCGTTGAATGGGAGGGTATTCAGACCGGTGATCATCCAGATGATAGTATTGGAGGATTCGCGGTCGAATATCGCGCAGAAAAGGACACACAATGGCATGTTCATGATGGTATTATTCCTTATAAAGGGCCTAATTTGCAGTACAGAGTACAGGTAATTCTTATATTATTGTCTTGATAATTTAGAGATATTTAAATTCCGCATCTATCTGTAAAATTAAGATTTTTTATTTGTCGCAGAAAAAACCGATTTCGTGTTACGTGTTGTAATTGATCTCTACAGATATATAAATTCTAATAAATTGTCTACAGATGACAAATAAGAAAACAAAAATATCGTATTGATATATATCATCGCAATTTTACAGATTCCACGTCTACCGACTGGAATCGCTTATTTTGTGCGCATCAAAGTATTGGGTAAAAATGGTAAAATTCTGGTGGAGACGCCAGAAATACGTGCCCGTAATGAAATGGTTAGCATTAAATGTGAATCAGGTTTGTTTTCTTATAATTTCTTTTTCTATTTCTTTGATTTTTAGCACCGACCCAATCATTCCAAATGACAAATTTAATGTAATTATGGCGGTTCCTAATTACCTTAGTTCACTGGACTAACGAACTATTTTAATGCAAAATAGGGAATTAAATTACTTTTATATCAACAAATATCATTACCATATTAAAAATATGTTATCAATGCTTAAAACGTTTACTTTAAAAATTTTTGCTCTATTAATGTCTATTTCTAAATGACAGATGAGCTGACAGCTCCACGAAATCTTGAAGTGACAGAAACAGGTCAATATAGTATTGCCATATCATGGGAACCTCCGGAATGTGGCTTTGTTGGCGAGTATCATATTGAAGTTTGTCCTTTTCCTTTTTCAGAAATATAATATTTTTTGCTTCCGGTTGTTGAATCATGTTAAAAACCATTGATTTTTTCTTCAGAAATTATTGAAACATTAAATGAAGAAGACATATATTGTATAAATGTCTAACAAAATTCCTTACCTTCAAATCTCAATCTTTTTTAACACATCTTTCTATTACTTCAAATTGATTTTCTTATTAAAACAAAATTAGTTGCGAAATCGAATTTTCTCTAGGAATAAATAAATTCATTCTTTTAACCGAAATTTGATCGATTTGTTCCAGTTAGCTGGTATTGAGACAAAGTTCGACGTTCATCGACAAACGGTAACACAACCATCAGTTAGTGTTACCAGTCTCTTGCCCGGAACCGAATATCAGGTTCGAGTTCGAGCTGCTGATCGTTCACGCATGTTAGGTCCATGGAATGATTATTTGCTTGTAGCAAAAACTGAAGGAGAAGGTTAATTAATACTGCTTAACTTTATGATTTAATTTGTTAACGAATTGTTGCTCATTTTACGTTATGCAATAGAATGTTTCATTTAAATTGAAAGAAATTCAAAATAATTCGTTACACAATTTGTTCCAGCTCCTAATGAATCAGATGAAATAGAAGTCGATTATCGGACAAATTCAGAATTACGCATTAGTTGGCAACCATATGATGACGAAAGGCTACAATATTATGAGGTATACTGATAAGATTGATCGTGATACTAGGACGATCATTTTATGATCATTTCGTGATTATTGACTTTCTCCTGAATCATTCCTTACTTTACATTGTACCGTAGCATTGAAATTTTATTTATTAATATATTAGTTGTTCGTATTTGCCTGTTTTTTTGATTATCCTACCTCAATCCATCCATGGATCATAAAACCAAGAAAGAAGTAGGATTTAATAAAATTTTTAAAGCTTATTTTTATATTTCAGTTGACAGCTGTTGAAGTGGATGGTGAGAGTCAGGCAGTTGAACGGGCACGTGTAAGTCCCTTGGTCAACAGTCATATTTTTGTTCGATTAAAACCGGATACACAATATGATATTGGTGTAGTAGCCTTCGTGGATCATGAACCAAAACTTGTTTATAAACTAACGGCTAAAACAGAAGAAATTGAGGGTGTAGCCTGGAAAGAGAAGCCAATAATTACACAAGAGAACGCGCAACGATTTATGGTACAATGGCGTAAACCTTTATTACCTGATCAAACCATTTCCAAATTTGTCGTTGAATATCGCCTACCAAATGAAACTGAGTTGGTTTATTTTTGTCGCTTCTATCTTAAATGATTTAAATAAAATGAAATTTTTTAAATTATTAATATGGACGGTAAAATTGGAACAACTTCAGCAATCAATATGACAACATGCATTGGAACATTATGTACAATCAAGAAAAAGTAATAGAATATATCTATGCCAAAATATCATAATGAAATGCAGCGCTCTTAGACGATGAATTTTATTCTTGCCTATATATTTTCAGATGGCGTAAATATGATGATTTGGTGGTAGAGGAAGAGACAGATGATTATCATATTCAATTTGATGGAATGTATGATGGATCAATGTATTCATTCCGTATTCTAGCAGTGGATGATCAACTTAAAATGGTTGCTAAAACAGCTGAGGCGAGCGCAATTATACTGCTTTTACTTTTGCTAACTTTTTTTCGTTTTATAAATTGGAAATATAATTCTGATTATTTAAGTTTGATCTTTCTTAAATTAATTAGATAATAAAAAAGAAAACAAGCAATTCAGGTGCTTTACTATAATTGAAGCTTTATTTTATTTCTTCTTTTTTCATTAATCATTTTAATTAAATAAAATTTTAGATTACTGTTGGTTCAGCAGCATCTAATTCTTGTATTAGTGATGCTGGTATCCCACAAAATGTACGATCTAATGTTGTATCTGAATCAACTATCCAGTTTACATGGGAGAAGCCACGTTGTGATGAAACATATGGACCAATTGACGGTTATGAATACACGGTTGCAGGCTACTTCTTTTTTTTGAATTTTCTTTTTGGTTAATTTAGGAGAAATTTAATTTTAGGGAATTAAGTCTCATTTAATTTCACTGATGGAGAAGAAGAAAATTCAGGCGGTAATATAAAATAGGTTTATATTCTTTTTATAAGATATGAAATGAGTTGAACTCTACAATTAAAGATTGATTTTCACTTGAAAACATATTTATTGACAGTTACTCACTTATTTATTTTTTATTAATTTACCTTTCAATTTCTACATCTCCAACTTTTTTGATAAATTGATGAATCATTGCGATGATTTGTACAGTATGAAATGAGCTAAATACAATTAACTTATTAAAGTTTAGGTTTGCCGTAAAAAAATGAGCATTTCTTTCAGTTCTGGAACACAGAAACAGATATACAGCCTGAAACCGCATCATACATTGGACGGAATAGCGTAACACTGGATTATTTAGATTCAGGTACACGATATGCATTTCGGGTTCGTTCACGTGCTGGACATAGACATAGTTCATGGAGTGATATCGTAAATGCTGAGACAGAAGTACATTCGGGATCAAAAGGTAGGTCGTAGAATTAGAAAAAAATGTTTATTCTAACAAATAATCTTTTAATTTATTCTGATAATTATTGTTTAAGTAGTATGAGTAAGTTTCATCATATTAAAAACTAATCAAATATGTGTAAAGATTGAAAAAATCTTCCAGGTATAATTTGCTTTATTGTTGTTGCATGACAGGAAAAATGTACATCTAACAAGTTTGATGTCACACCGCAATAAGTATTTTAACTCACAAAAAACGCACCGTAAATTTAATGATGTATTTTCTCGTTCCGGTTAAAATACATTTTTAATTCATCAAATGGCATTTCTATCCGAATTTTTATACAAGATACTATTACTTACCTGTTTATCGATTACTTCAAATGATGTGCAACAATCGTTGGCGCATCGAAAAAAGTGTCACTTATAACGGTATTGTACCATACGCTTGTTAAACTAACGTTTTTACATGATTTTCTGTCACTCTAAAAATTGCTTGTAATATCAATCAACTTTTAATAAATAACCAATTTAATAAATAATCAATTAAACAATTAATAAATAACCATTGTTATACAAACATGCTTCAACAATTTGAACAGATCACAGTTTCCATGCTTCATTCTTCTTCTTTTACTTCTGGAAAATAATTTCTCTTTCATTCTCTCTATATAATTTCTCTTTCATTCTCTCTATATAATTTCTCTCTCATTCATTCTATCCTTTTTTTCTTTCTAACTTTCTACAACTCTTTTGATGGTTTTTTTGCATTATTTACTGAGAATATTATTGTAGTAAAATTTGAGATAAATTAGAAGAAAGCGATAAATCATGAAATTGAAGAAAATGAACATCCGAATAGATATCCATTAAAAGGTTAAAAGGATTTATGAATATGCACTGACCTTCCAGTACTCTGAAACTAGCCTACAAAGCAATCCTATAACTTTTTCTGGTGAAAAATAAGGGCCACATCTTCTTATGTGACTTATTTGTTCATGCCATTGATAATGCTCCTTTTTTAGCTTTGTAGTAAAACTAACATTTAGTATCCACAAGTAATGGCGATCCTTATCGATATCGCTATCACTATCAGTCACAATTAATCACAAATAACACATTACCATTCTATTCAATGTTGCAACAATCATCAACATCTGCATTTCTTCGACGCTTTAAACGACAGCAAAAAAATCAAATTACAGGTAAATTAAGGTAAATTATACAGTAATATAAAAGTTAAGGAGAGGTTATATTGGAAAATAAATTTTACTGTAGATTGATTTTTAAATAAATGGTAGGAAAATCTTATGCTTATTCTATTTCAATTTTAGGTAAGTTGTGTAAAAATCTCTCTCTCTTTCTCTCTTTCTCTCTCTCATTTTGTCTTTTCTTAACGAAATTATTGGAAAAAGATGTGTTTTGGTTTTGGGTGCTTAATTAACACATATCACAATTGATATCTTGATAAAAATATCAGTTATCATTTTATCGCTTTTTTTATTTTGGTAACAAATAACAATTTGGTGAAGGTGGTGTTTATATGTTTAATACCTATAAAATTCAATTTCTAAATTGAAGATTTCGCATTCCTTTCTAATTGCTTGAATGATTTTTTATAGTTGAAGGTGTTTGATAGCAAAGGAATATAAGCAAAATAGTATGTGAAAAAATAATAATATAAGTTCTATTTTCATTTTCTTCCTTTGGAATATTCCCATCCTATCTCTCTAAGTTATTTTTATTGTATTGTTTTAGACGATCATAACATATATCAACTTCGCATCATTTTGGCACCGCCGAAATCATACTTAGCTTGGACACCATTACCAGAACATGCTGAAGAAGTTACCAAATTCAAGTAAACTACTTTTTCATTTCCTCATACTTTTCTCCCCTTGTGTGCCCATTTGAACTAAATTGGGATCAAATTATTATAAATATTGTAGAATTTAATATTCTAGGTTGTCCTATAAAAAGAGTACTAGTGACCACTGGACACGTATCATTGAAACACCGGAGTATTTCAAATGTCCGGAAGGAATTGCTGATCCGGAAGATTTCTGTTATGATTTGTCCAAACTTTCTTTTGGAGTACAATACACTGCTGATGTAAGTTCAGATTTGTGTTACAAAATAAGTGAAAGTAAGAGTAGCCAAGAGATTCTAGATGAGATTTCTTGACCTTTGCTAGTACATAAACTGGAAACTATTCTCAAATAATTTCAGTTAATATATGAATTAGAAAGTGGTGAATGGACAACACACGGCAGCCCATTGTTCTTCATCCTTGTTGAAGCTGGTATCACTTATAATTTTCCAATCTAATTAGACTTGATCTTTCACCATTCGCCGCCAATTCTGTTATATGTTACGCCTGCAATTCGTTCCTCAAACTCATGCATGCTCTTTGTTTCTGCTATTTCTCACTTTCTCTTTGTAAAAAGAAATACTTCCTCCAACAGAAATACTTTTTGATAGTTGCAAAATGTTGAAACTTTCATTCGTCCCTTTGGTGCTTTTTTTCCTGGAATCTTTTATGAAAATTTTACACCTACAATGATGCTTATGAAAATGTCTCAAATTTTTTGATCATAGATAAAAAGGATGCTTCGAATTAATCATACATTAATTCAGCGGTTATTCGAAGATATCCATCCATTTCAGGGGAGCCATCTGTGCCGACATCACCGCACAACCTTCAGATCAACCCTCATGACGCGTCAAGCATTGAGCTTCATTGGTTGCCACCCCTAAACTCAAAGCACATTCCTTTTTATCAGGCACCATTTTTTTCTACTTTTATTCTTCCATTTGCACAAGCACTATTTCTGCATGATATATGTTCCTTTTGCATATTTTTTAGAGCGGTTTTTTGTCCAGAAAAAGTCACCTCTTCATAGGTAATAATGGGACATTATTTCTGAACATTTTGTACAAACAAACAGAGGAGAAAAAAAGTAAATCTAAAATTGGTTTCTGTTTTCTTAATTAGTCGGTTCAATTTAGATTGAAATAGAAGATCTGAATACACGGGAAATGCGAACTGAACGGATACCGGGGTCATTCTTCTCCTCTATTCTTAGCCAACTGTCACCGAATTCCATCTACAATATTTCTATCCGTGCTGGAACTGATTTTGGTGAACTTGGTATGCCTGCATTCAAGACTATTTCTCTACATGGTAAAGATACTAAATTGTTGGATCGTGTGCCTATTGAAGAGGGCCGATTGAAAGAGCAGGTAAAGGAGCAAAAAATAACAGAAGCAAAGGAGGAAAGTGAAAGAGTTAAATTGGAATATGAATTTGAGAGAGAACGAATAGAGGAAGAACGCAAACGGGAGAGAATAAAAGAATGTGAGCGTAAAAGATTGCAAATGGAACATGATAGATTGAATAGGGAACGTGAACGTAATCGAATTGTGCATGAATATGAACATGAACGTGATCATCACCGTGATCGTGAGCACCTAAAAAATGATCATATTGATCGAGCAGCCGAACAGCAGCAACAATATTATGAACGTCAACGGCAGTTAGAGCGTGAACGTATGGAGCTGCAGCAACGACAGCAATGGGAGAAAGAACGTGAGCGATGGGAGAAGGAACGTGAGCAATGGGAGAAGGAACGTGAACGTAATGATCAGTTGAGCTCTCAACATCAACAACAAGAGGAGTATGTGGAAAAAAGATGGGATCCACATGAAAGACCAGAACAGGAACGTATTCGACAACAATTGGATCAAGTTCAGGTGTTGCCGGGACGAAATGACGAGCGAGGTGAGAGGATGTAACAGCGAATCGTACTGACACGTGTGATTCTGCTAACAAGATTAACAAGTGCAAATAAAACTAAATTAGAATATTTCAATGACTTAATCTTATCTTTCAGCCAAGATCATTTCTTATTTCACATCATTCATCAATTTCTATCTTCATTTTCTTTTTTTCACAACCTATGCACGAATAGATGAATATTCTTTGAATCAAAGTGTATTGATTCCTTCTGAAGTATCAAATATTTGCTTACTCACCGTATCACATGTATCCATGCTTACCATTTTCTCTATCGCTTTATGCTTATTTGCACGCTTTTTTTCAAATTTTACAACTTTGGCATATTTCAATTTAAATGCAATTATTTTCTAACGAGTTTTGCTGTGATTTTAGACAAAATTTGAGTGAAAAAGCAATCTATCTTTGCATTTTTCAAATTAATTATATGAATAAAGTTAAAATAATTACTTAGATGGCATGCGAAAATCGCTTCTTGACATCGATAAACCACGTATTGAACAACGTGGATCACGTATTTTACTATACTGGACTGTTAGTGGTGAAACATCAAATGTGATAGCTTATCAGGTTTGTTTGTAATTTATTTGAAAAATTATCCTTATTCTAGTAAGTAATGTGCTCTATTGAAACATCAATAATTCATATCGAAATAGCATTTTAAATAACATATGATACCTTATCTCATTGATCATTTGGCTTTAATACAATTTTAATCAAAGTTTAGCAAATAAATTTCATGGAATTTTCAGATCGGTCTGCGTTCAGATTCAGATAGTGATTGGCGATATTTGGACAATTATGTTGTTCATTCACCATCAGAAATTCACTTCCGACAAGAATTAACTAATCTAGAAATCAATAAACACTACTACGTTAAAGTCTCGGCTATTGATCAATCACGACGTATTCTTGCTACCTCAGAAGCAACTAGTTTTACGGTTCATTGCCAAAGTGTGCTTTTCATATATTACATTATTTTACGACATCACGGGAAAATTATTCACAGAGACATTACAATGTTTTGAATTCAATTCTGCATTAAAATCGCTTACTTGAAAGATTTTAAACATGACGTAAGATTATCTAAGTATGACGTAAAGAGGAACTCTGTGTATGATTTCCAAGAAGTTTCATTATTTGTAATTTCATTTTGTCGTCTGTACAGTTAATTGTTTAAATTTTCACTTTTAAGCTTTAAGCTTTCAATTTTGATGTAAATTTATCAGATAGTATCACTTCATTTACTAACCATTTTTTCAGCACCCAACAATTCGCCGCAGAATTTACGACTGAAAAGTGTAGAAGAAGGAATTCAACTTACCTGGAATTGGGTAGACTCGGAGGATCATGAATGTGAACCGTATTTTCTGATAACAGGATATCAAAATGGGATACCGTTTTCGGAACGAGTTGCTGGGAGAGAACGTCAATTCACTTTCCACAATGGGGTCGATGGCGAATGGCATGTGGAAATGCGTGCCGGGAATCGTGCCGGAACTGGACCTAGTAGCGGACTTATTAATCTGCAAAGTTCTTTGAAAGGTATTGTCCAAATTTAAATTGATTTCATGTGAAATTATAAGTTATGAGCTTTCAAGGTAGTATAAATGATTTTGCAGAAACAAATTGGATTATAAACTATAAAGTGATTTAAAAGCCGAAAAATATCTATCACAAAATAATCGATCGAATACTAAAGATTTACTAGAAACATTCAATTTTTAGAAATTTTTATGTTTCAGATTTTTATTTACATTTACACGCAGTTCAAGCAGCAATTTTGAATGTATTCCAATTTAATTTGATTTCGTATCACATATCTGTTTTAAGTTGTTAGAAAGCTGATAAGTTTCAGTTCTTTCTCAGCTATCAATCCCTTATCTTTGATATTTGATTCCTTGTTGAGGGTCTTCTAACAGATTGTTTTGGACTTCATTTCAAAGCTAGTAAAAGTTTGATGCGGAAAAATTTATATAAACAAAAAGAAAATGTAAGAATTAGAAGTTAGTTGAAATGAACAAATCGATAAGGTAGATAAGGTATCATTAGACGAAATACTATCTGCTTAGAGGTCAGTAAATAATGTCAAAAAAACATTGGGAATCAATTATTTCAAGCTATTTTTCCATACCTGTTTAGCCGCTTTCTAAACTTACTTAGTGCAAAAGAAATATCTTCCAATAATTTAGCGCTTGTTTTATTATCAAATTATGTGTCCCCATTCCAGTATCCAAGGGTCTCCGTGTACTACGTAGCATCTGTGATCCACGTGTAGATTTCTGGTGTCGTTCACCGGATGAAAATTACGATACTGCCATATCTCGTCATCCTAATGAAGGTTTGAATAGTGTGCCGTGCCGTGTGATCTTGATGTTGTGCACCGCTGATCCCATATTTGAATCAAATAACTCCTTATCCTAAGCAACCACCTTTTTTTCACTAGAATTATACTTATACTTCAATTTATTTTAATTTTAAATTTATGTAATAATTTTATTTTTGCATAGCTTAGAGCAGCAATATTTACTCAGCACTGGCTTGGCTCTACTAATTAGTGCTCTTCCTCAAGCTTGAGCATTTTCTCTTTTTTTTACTTCGATCAATTAGTTCTTTATGATAAGATATTCACATTTGATGAAAAATAATGCAATATGGGTTGTATGGACCCATTTGGGCATTCAAATATAATCTATAATCTCGATATCCATGCATCTTTATGGATCGATGAAAATCAGCAAACGCAACAGCGATGACCAAATTTTTATCATTCATATAATTTCATTATCATTATTAAAAATTTCTTCTAAATTATATTCAAATAGATATAAAGAAATCAATTGCTCTTATTTGTATTCTTATGATTTTCTTGCGATAGCAATGCCAATGAAATATTGGCTAAAGGTAAGACAAGTTTTTGGAAATTTGATTCCATAAAAAGCAATAAATAAAATACCTAAATTTTTTGATGAATATCTTTATTCTGAGATTTCAATTTAGTTCCTGTATAAATAAATATCAATTGCTGATATATTGGCTAAAGGTAAGGTAAGTTCATTTTGTGATATGGCTTAATGTTGTATTGTTGATTTATGTAACATTAGTGATTATTATTGCTATTGCATGCCAATTATTTTATAATTTTTTTTTGCAGACATTTTTTTTTGTAAAAAACTTTTAATTTGCAAATTTCAGAACTTATTTCGGATCTACGAGTACTCTCACGTGATGGTGATTTAATCGTTGAATGGAAAAGTGAAGGTACTGGCCATGGTGTTTTTGGATATCGTGTACAGTATCGGACAAATAGTACCGGTTGGACTTCTTATGGGTAATTGTTTCTCTTTTTTTTGCATAATTTGTTAAATGGATATATTTGCAATGGAAAAAATGAATTGCATTTTATTATCCACTTTTACTACAAAATGTCCAAGCATTGTAAGTTTTAACAAAAATTTTTTTAAATTAAAATTTATTTTTGAAGCTTTGCAGCCGTTAAAAGTATTATCGTTTCTTTTCAGCCAAATTGTACCGTATACTGGTGATAATAAACGTTATATACAGCAGTTAACAGGTTTACAGCAAGGTAGTATGTACCATATACATATTCAAGTACTTGATAGAAATTCGTATGTTATGTATACCAGTCCAGAGGCATCAGAACGAACCATTTGTTCCGGTATGATTTTGGAAATTTTTGCAATGTAAATTAAAATAGATTTTTTATTGTTATATAGAAATCTTCAATCTAAAAATTTGTCGCATTAAATTTGGTCAGCTTTGTTTTTCTCCAACAATTACATTCTTTTTTTTTTCATGGCTGTATATCTTTTCTACCTCATCTTTTGCTTAAATTATGTACTTCTTGGATTTGAAATCGTTTACAAATTTTTGTAAGTGCAGAAGAAATTAACGATGGTGAATAGATCTTAAAAGATTTAATATATAATGAACCGAAATAAGTCTGTCATTAAAAGTGTTTTAATTTTTTTGTCTTTGAGCTTTAAATGTAACAATTCCAAAATTTAGCACCAACTCATCCTCCATCGCATTTACAAGTGCAAGCTGCTGATCCACGCCATATTCGGGTAAGTTGGGCGCAACCACCGCAAAGTACCTGGCAGTGTAGCAATATACAGGTAGAACTTGAGATAACGGAACCACAAAGTATTGCACCAATACTCCTGAGCGGACATCAAACATCTCACGTGTTAGATTCCGAAGCAAATCAGCAATGGTCTGTTCGAATTCGTACAAAGAATTCAGCAGGCGCATCAGCATGGTCACAAATTGCATCTGTTAGAACACCGCCTATTGGTGAACTGATCATTGGGCCAACAGTGAGCTATAGACATGGAATTCCGGTGCTTACATGGACAAGCAAAGAGCATATGGATGACCTCATTCAAACTTACCAAATCGAATATCGAACTTCGATTGATACAGCTTGGCAAAAGCTTCGTGAGCAAGTAAGATAATTTGTGTACACCTTTAAATATTTGCATTTCATTTCTTGCATGAGTTCTCGATAAGCTATATGAGATGAATTGCCTTATTATTTAGGTACCATATGCAGGTTGGCAACGACCTTACAGTATCGATCTCAGTGAACTACCTCCTGGCCATAATTATCAGATTCGAATTCACGCAGTCGATGCTAATAATGGCATTGCTTATACGTCATCAGCGTTTAGCGTCCAAACACAAACCAAATGTTCAATACCACGTCGTACACCATCCGATGTACAAGCTACCTCACTTGGACCCACACAAATCCGTGTATCCTGGAAGGTTAATTTTGAAGTGTGACAAATTTTTAAACGAGTGTGTCATCCTGTCAGTATATCATCTTTTGAACAATTGAATTCATAAAAATTTTGCTTACATCTGAAATCATTACTATTCACCTAATTCATTATGTTTTAAGCTTTTTATTGAATTAGCTCTTGAGTTCTTTAGTTATACACGCTGATTGTACAATATATAAAGTAGAGAAAAGTCAGATATTAAAATGGTATATACTACAATAGAAATAGTTGTTTTTAGGCATTGCATGAATCAGAATGGAATTGTAATCGATTGTGGTACGTTGTAAAATACAGCACTCCACAGAATCAAGGCTTTAAAAATTTGACACTTGGTGAAAATCATGTGATTTTTGATTCGGAACCATTTACGCGGTGGACTTTCGAGGTGCAAGCTGCTAATCCAGCCGGTGAAACGCAATGGTCACATCCAGTTACCGTACAGACAGAGGGAACTGGTACGATTTTATACGTGATGACTTTGTGAACGTTTAGATTTTTTTCAAACATTTTGCTAAAATCTTAAGGCGAAAAGATTGAGTTATTTTTGCTCCTCAAAATTTAGGATGTTTGAAGAGCTGCTTTCTTTTTTAAGACCAATATTTTTTAATTATTATATCGTACAAACTAACTTATTATCGTAAATCAAATTTTTTAAATTATTATATCGTAATGTCCTTTAATTTTTTCCAGCCCCTGGACCAATTTCGGATTTACGGATTTATTCACAATTATCGGATACACTACAGCTTTCCTGGAGGCAACCGCAAAATCCCTATGGTCAAATTACCGGTTACGAAGTAACCTATCAGCTATTATCAAAGTGGGTTATCGCAATTTTCATTAAAAATCTATGGATATCCATGCATGATTCAAAATCTATATTTATGCAATAGATATTGATTATATCAGCTAGAAGCCCATTTCAACTATTTTTCAAATCCTCAGATATATTGTTGAGGAGTTAATGAGCGTTATTTCATTTCAGAGGTATGTGTGACCAAGTGAAAGAAAAACCTGTAACAGTGACCAGCGATAGGCCTTCATTCACTCTTCGGGGTTTATTACCACATTCAAAATACCGTATTTCTGTTGCTGCAAAAACAAATATTGCTGGTAACATTTCTCATTCTTTTTTTGATACTTATTTTTTGAAATCTACTTGGTATTGTATTATGATTCTCCAATGATATGATCTGCTGAGATTCTTCTAACAACTTTTAAATGTGTCAGTGGCCAATCATTTCCAATTTTAATGCCAACGAATGATTCATTGTGATGTCATAAGATTGATCGGATGAAAAAGCATTTATAAATAAGAATTAGTGTTTGTTGCATAAAAACTTGAACTTCAAAAGTATTTTAGGTGAACACGTAAGTCAGGAAGTGCAAACTGAAGAGGCCGCACCAAGTGGTGCACCAATTTATATCCGTGTAACAAATATATTGCCTACTGAAGTAGCTATAGTTTGGCAAGCACCTGCATGCTTGCAAACAAATGGTGAAATAACAGAATACGAATTCGAAGCAACACCTTTGGAACGGCGTGATTATGACGCTGATGGTACAATTAAGCAGGTTATCAGAGGTACTAGAACCAAAATCACCGGTCTTTCCGCGTATACAAAATATTCGGTGCGGATACGAGCATTTACACGAAAAGGACCGGGACCATGGTCAGAACCGGTTCAGTTCCAGACTGCTACTGCACCTGAAGTATGTTTAATGTTGTTGACGAAGTTAAATTTGTAAACTAATGTTGATAAACATTTTCGTTGTTAAAATTAATTTCCTACATTTCAGATTCCAGCGCCACCGATGGTTCGAATTCTAAGCACTGGATCAGATAATGCAGATTTGGTTTGGCAAGAGCCTTATCCATCTTCTGGTTTAATTGATAGATACAAATGCAAGTATGCAGTAGCTGGTACCAAACAATACCAAGAGCGCCAATTTCCCTCATATAATCCATGTGATAATGAAGTCATTCGCATGCAGCAATTGTCATCACAACCAAGTGGGACAAAATTACATTGTGGTAGAATTGATGGCTTGCAGCCCGAGCAACAGTACACTTTCATGGTTTGATTTTGAAATATTTAAATGTTTTAAAAAAGTTGCTGTTTACAGATGACTTTTTTCCAATATTTCAATTGTTGCAATAAAATGAACCTATATATTCACGATGAACAAATGATTACGTTGCAGATGTCAGCTGGTGATCAAAGTGGTTCTTGGTCTCCGTGGAGTGAGCCTCAAACTGGTCACATTAGTGAAGGCCCCGTTCAAGTTATTTCATTGAGCAAAATAGGTGGACGAGCGAATAGTATCTTAATTGGATGGAATGTGCGCCCTATTGACGCAGCTCGTGTTGTCGGTTACCGAATTCATGTAACACCCGTGCTGCAGCATGATGCCAAGCCAATATCATTTACAGTGGATCGATCTACGCTGCAGTATAATATCGATAACTTGTTACCTGACACACGTTACAATATAACCGTAGATGCTACTACTGATGGTATTCACTATCATCCAGGTACTGCAATCGAAGCTGGTACCGATTCAGCACCAACGAGTGGTTTAATGGCTGCTCCACGAGTAATTGAAGAGCAAGCAACCTCAGTAACTTTGGAATGGAATGCACCAGATAATGATGTAAGTGGATTCGTGATCGAATATCGTGTTGGTGGTAGTGTATGGCAGCAGTATGGCCGACGAATTCCGGCATATCCCGGACGTCATGTCTACACTGCTCAGATTGATCAGGTAATCAAATTTTCGAATATTGTCATTAATTTCCTATATTTACCGACACTTCTTTCAAATCCATTTGGATAATGGAACCATTAGCAGCACTGCAGGGTTGCTCTGAAGTATTGGTCACTTTCAGATCTTTTAAATTGAGCTCTGAAAATATTGCTAAGTTTTAAGAAAGTAAAATTACAAATTAAGTCAAAATGAATTTTCTTACGAAAAGAAAAACATTCGTTTGCTCTTTGCAATTTCTCCATTTCAGCTTCCGACAAACAGCGTTGTGGATTTTCGGATATGTGCTGTGTCACCGCAAAATGAACAATCTATTCCTAGTCCGGAAGTCCGAGCTCGCACTCGATGTTCCGCACCACCAACACCACCACAGGCTATTCGTTTGGATGCCCCGTCCACCAATGAAGTTCGTGTTTCGTGGGCTCAGCCAGCCAAAGATACGTGGCAATGTGATCAACTGAATTATGATCTTGCTTATCGGACAGGCGGACAAACGGAACGAGTTGTTCCAGTACCCGGTGACCAAACCGATTACACTTTTCCTTCGGAAGCCAATACTCGATGGGCTGTCAAGTTAAGATGCACTAATCAGGTAGGGTCGAGTCCATGGAGCTCCGAACAAGTGATAACAACTCGTCAAGGAATCCCAGGTCCAGTTCGAGATTTGCATTTGCGTGCTAAAAGTCCTAACGAAGTACATGTACGATGGCTTGCACCATTGGTACAACGTGGCACCATTGTCGGCTATGATATTAGCTATCGGTTGAAACATCGATTAGCTTGTCCGGACGAAGAACCACGTGATGTCAGTCGTGATTTTATCACTGTCTACAATCACAAAGATTTGGAATATACATTAACTGGACTGTTACCTTTTTCATTGTATGAAGTACGAGTACGTGCACGTACAACGGAACTAGGACCAGAAGAATCGAAAGATATTGCAACAGAACAGCAACCACCAAGTGCACCACCGTTGAATCTACAATTAAGCTATGCTTTAGAACGTTCCATTAGTTTTCAATGGGAACAAGTAGAATGTTCACAGCGTCATGGGCATATCGTGAATTATGAATATGAAATACAGGGTCAAGATGATTGGGCTAAGTTGGAACGTCAGATTGCGAATACCACAGATACTAAGATAAATATTGAAGGTTTGACACCGTTTACGAAGTACATTATGCGTGTGAAAGCTTACAACAGTATTGGTGGTGGTCCGAATACGGAAAATCTTGATGCAATGACAGCTAAAGCGGATGCACCGTTACCGCCACAAGATTTAGTTGTTGCTCAAGAAGGTACTGATTATTTCATGATTTCGTGGTTACCACCTTATCCACCATATGGACCACACGATAAATATAAGATTCGTTATCAACTGCTGAATGAAAGTCGCTGGACGGAAATCGAGAAAGACCCCAAAGATGAATTATTGAAATGTCCAGCTGAAAGTCCTCGGCATTGTTTCAATGTTACAAATTTGGAAAGTGGACGACAATTTCGAGTTCAGGTTGCAGCTCATATTGTTGATGGTTCTTATGGTCCTTGGAGTACGGTGACGATCGCAAACACATTGCAAATTCTACCTGATGCTCCACGGGGTATAGAATTGATTGAGAAAACTGATCATTCACTTCATATTCGCTGGATTCCACCACCGGATCCTTTGGGACAAATAACACAGTATAAAGTGGGAATCGTTTCGTTGGACGATCCGGACGATCAACTGAAAACTTTTCTCATAGATCATCCAACATTGCAACATCTTTTGAATAATCTACAACCTGAAACTTCCTACAATATTAGTATTTCAACTGGCACCAAACGTGGTTTCGGTCCTCTCTCTTGGACACGTTATTCCACTGATCCATTCAAAGTGCCACCGGTAGCAAATCCACCACAAGTTACGGCAGATGGAGCTGATGCATTGAATGTTCAATGGAATGGTATTTTGGATACGAAAAATCAAGTCCGTGGATATATAATAGAATTTCGTTCTAGCGATAATCCAACATTTACGGAATATGATGGAATTATTGAACACGACATGAGCCAACGTAATTACCAACAGCGCTTATCAATACTGGATCCTGACACTCTATATTTTGTTCGTATCAAAGTTGTGGATCAAAAGCAACGCGTTAGCGAAGCAAGTCCAGAAGGAAGTTCACGGACCGGTTGCGCATGTAAGTACAGAGTTTAGCAATTTTATTGTGCTACTTCTCTACTTCAAAACCTATCCATTTTCAAAAATATCTGTAATCGTTTTCTGTTAAATTGGTCTCTAATTTTATCCTGAAATTAATAATTAATTTAGCAATTTTTCCAGTACCACTTGCACCACCATCGGATGTAAACGCGTTTTCACCGTCACCTTATCAGGTGCAAATTAGTTGGCAGCCACCAAGTCAATCTTCTTGGCAATGTTCAAATATCAAATACAAACTAGAATACACCAACGGTTCATCCTCACCTCAGGAAATTGATATACCCAGGTCAGACTACGAAAAATCATTTTGAAATCTTTAAATTTATAATTTATTTTATCTTTTACTCAAAATAATGAGAATAACCTTTTTTCGAAATCAAATCAAATTACTTTCTCAAAGTATTTGATTTATTTTAGATTGCCAAATATCCTTATTTTCTACGTCTAAAACATCTGAGACGCCTGAGACTCTGTGACTTAGATTCGTGAAACTTATCTTGATAAGAACACAATTATATCAAAGTGAGTTAAGCTGCTCCGATTACTTGCTAATTTCAGTGGTATAACTGACCGGGTACTGGACGCATCACCGAATACATTGTGGCGATTACGGGTTCGAGTTGAAAACGAAGCAGGTGCTTCAGATTGGAGCAAGGAAGTTTCTATCACAACTGCTGAAGGTAGCATAATATCACATAATATATCCTCAGTTAGTATCAAAAATGTGCACAACCTGTAAGCGTGAAGCCTGTAAGCGTTTTAACATGCAAAATAAAAGATAATCCATGATTTCTAGTAATTAATAGTTGTTTGGCAACTATTAATAGAAAGTTTAGATAACCCTGTTATCAATTATCTATCACAATTACTATAATCCGATTATCCATTACGTTCAAATATTATTGATTAGACAGTAATTTATAAAAATCTGACGAGTTTGACGGAGAAGTTAATCTAAAATTTGATTTGATTTCGATTATTCTGATATAGCAAATGATTTGAGTACTTCTTCGATAAATTTTTATCAAAAGTTTGCCAGTATCTTTTCATTAGAGATTATTTAATAATATTGAAAGCATTTATTTGTTTACATTACAAAAGTTAGCTCATTTATAGGAGCACCAAGTGCAGTGGAAGATCTTGATGCTCATCCGTACGGACCAGAAGCTGCATCAATAACATGGCAACCGCCCGCAGAGCCTAATGGACAGATTACCGGTTATACCTTGGTATATACGCTTAAGTCTCGTGGTGAATGTGGTCCACGTTCTTCGCAACCTATCACTCGAAATACTAAAGATGAAGAAATTACGCTGGAAGGACTATTACCTGATTCCACCTATGAAATACATGTAACAGCACATACTTCTGAGCCTGGACCTCAATCAAATATTATCACTGTTACAACTGATGAAGCTGGTAAGTTCATCTTTTTTTCATGTTGAAACATGAATTTTAATGAAATTCATGGACTAAATGAAATCATATTTTGCGTTTGAATTTTTAAATTAATCATTCAAATCGATATGTGATTTATGATATCAGTATTATTTTCCGTATTTCATTACTTTACGAAATCATCGAGTCTAACATTAGCTAAATATGTTTTTTCTTTTATAACGTTAAAATTAAGGAATAAATCTGTTGAGTTGAAATAACGGAAATTTTCTGCTTTTAAGACTTTGAATTCCAAAGTTTTTGTATTGAAATTCTCTTTCGGAAACAACTTTGGGAGTTCCGCCATATCTACTTATCTTGAGAGCCTAGTATCTCATTTACAGATAAATCGATGGTGAAATAAGGGAGAGGTAATATTAAGTTTGATTTGAAAACATCGTATATCGTATATGGTAATGCATATCTTCACATTTTTTAAAACATTCCAAAAATGTGACTCAACAAAAACCGATAGAGTAAAGTTATTGTTACATTTCTAGTTAGAGTTAGCTTTTTTCTCATTACAATTAGATTAGGTAATTCAGATAAATCCTTCCTATAATCTTTTGCTTGCTTTATTGTTTTATTTTCTCCCCTTTCCCTCTCTCTCTTTTTTCCTTTCTCTTTATTTGTTTTTATCCTATGGATTAATTTAGCTTCAAATATTGATGGTAAACATAATAATTTACCAATGTAATATTTTTTATCAAATTTTAATAAATTTAACTTTCAGTTCCCACTGGAGCTCCATTAAATCCACGTATAAGTTCCGTAACACAAACACGCGGTGACTTTTTGTGGAATGAACCGGATTGCGAGCTTCGTAACGGTAAAATAACGAGTTACGAGTGGCAGTTAGAAAGTGCAGATCCGTGGGATGAAAGTAAAAGTGGTCAAAGTACCACGCAAAGAATATCCTTCGATGATTTGATTCCATATACTCAGTATCGGGTACGAGTTTTGGCGGAGAATTCAGCTGGACAAGGACCATGGTCAGAATGGATCTCATTTCGAACGCAACCTGCCGGTAGGTTGGTACTTTGTTTAGGTTAAGTTCCTCTCAGGAGAATAACGGTAAGTTGCATTTTTATTTAAATCAACTAAAATTGAAAAGGTTGTGAAATGAAGCATGAATAAATAATGATCATTGAAGATAGGAGGAGAATATGAGTAAATCATATGAGAATTGTTTGCTTTAGCACCGCCAGCACCAACAGATTTAACCGAGGAACAATCTTTCCCTCATGCAATCGAAATTTCATTCCTTCCACCAACACCGCCCCATGGTACTATCAACGAATATCGTGTAAGACATACACCATCTAGTCAAGTGAGTGACTTTGTTATTTGCAGTGATTTTCAGTCATGTCTATTTCCTAATTCATATTGTGCAAATTTTTTCTATTACTATTTGTCACTTTGTTTTGATATCATACGGATTCTAATTTGATTTAAATTCCATTAATTACGAATACATATTATATATAAAAATTTTCTGAGGAAAAGATTTAGTATATTATCACTTCCGCTAAGAAGAAAATAGTTATTACACTGAAATAATACAAAAAATGGTACAAAACAAAAAATTGAAATCGTTTGAAATTCAACGATGTCTTTTATACAGATGAATTACAAAGAAGTTCGTGTACCTGAAAGTCGATTGCAATGCTCAGATACATCGAAACGTGATCGGTTGTGCTATCGAGTTGTGGATTTAGAACCGGAGCAGGAATACGAAATTCAGGCATCAGCTCATACTGAAAGTGGTGCTTGGGGTGATTGGAGTGAAACATTAAGTTCTCGAACACACGAACAAAGTAAGTTAAGAGTGAATAATAAATTTTAAACAAATAAAATGAATGTAAAAGTGAAAATAAAAATGAAGTGAAAAAATGAAAAATAATACGGAAGTGAAGTAAAGTAGATGCTGTTTAGATATACCAGTATTAGAACGTGAACTGGAAGTAGTGGACAGCAAATCGAACAGTATAACATTACGATGGCAAGGTTTAGATGCCGATCAAGTAAAATTTCCTTTTTTATTTACTTAAATTAATTTGTCCGATTATGCTTAATTGTTGGACAAATACTTTATACTCTTAAAATTTCGAACTATTAATGTTCAAATTTCATTGCTGTTGAAATAAGTGACATCTTTTTTACTAAGTTTTTCTTTTACATGAACTGAAATTGAAGTGTATATTTTAGTCGAAGCATGTTGTTGGCTACATTCTGGAATATAAATCGGAAGATGATGATTGGAAAGAATATGATGGTATCACAAAACATCGCGCTCGTCAGAATGATTACCGTGTCCAGGTTAAAGATTTGGAACCTTCGACGGAGTATTTTTTCCGGTTGAAAGTTGTTGGTAAAAATGACAAGCGTGGTTCATCAGGACCCGAATTAAGAGCGATGACAAAATGTGGACGTTAGTACTAGTTTTTTTGTTTTAGTTTATTTGCCATTTTTTATTTCTTAATTTTACTTTGAATCGATTTAAACCTTTTTTATAGGATTTCAACTTTTTACATTTCAGGGCCTGAAGAACCACCAACCGATCTACAATTGACATCCGATTTTGAAAATGTTAAACTTACCTGGACGAATCCGGACAAAGAGTCTTGGGCATGTGACAATATTGAATATGTGATTGATTTCGTCAACACCACTTCACGCGGCATAATGACAATACCAGCGGATGCACCGACTGAACTCTTGTTACCATCGTTTCCAGGAACCAAATGGGAGATTCGTATGCGCACACAGACGATTGAAGAAGGCCAGAAACCATCCTACAGTCCATGGAGTGATCGCGTAACTTTGGTAACCCAAGCTCTTCCCGGAGAACTATTCCTAACAGTTGATCCAAAGACGCCTACTTCAGCAATGGTTATTTGGGATTTAGCTGATCAGGATCGAAAATGGAACTATGGTGCCGATATTACTTATCGATTGAAACAATTGGGCAGTTGTATAGAACCACGAAGCGGTAGTCATGAACCAGTGACGAACTATAATGTGCAAGACAAGCAAATTTTAGTTGATGACTTACTACCCGGTTCCGAGTATGAAGTAGTGGTTACTCCGCGACGTCCTCCAAGTCTACGACCTTCCATTACAACGCCGAAAACGATACGTCACTTCAGGACAAAAGCTACCTTTCCAACTGGTCCGCCACGTAATCTGCGTGGTGAGAAACGTCGTGATACTGAAATTTCCTTCAAATGGGAACCACCGGAATGTGAAGAACAAAATGGCGAAATAACACAGTATGAATATGAGGTGACAGGTGCCGAAGAATGGAATGATGTGAAACGTGAAGGTGTAACACCACGTACCAATGCTGCAGTGGATCAAATGAATCCTGGCTCCACATATAATGTACGCGTACGCGCATATACTAGTGAAGGACCTGGACCATGGTCAGAACCAATTCAGATTACCACCACCGGTACTGAACTAGGACCACCTAGAGAGCTTACTGCTGTGCATACAAAGCCTGAATTAATTCAATTAACTTGGCTCCCACCATATCCAGAACGAGCGCCAGTGCTCATTTATAAAGTCCAGTATAGTCCACGTGCCGATGATTTTAATCCAGTAGAAATAGAGCTATCCGGCGACCAACTGAGCTGTACTGGATACAAGAGTCCTCTGATTACCAGTGATAGCATATGTACAACAGTGAGGTCATTGCAACCGGATACGACTTACCGGTTCGCTGTTCAGGTTTGTGAAGATTATGTTCAGTTCCAAAACTCGGATCCTCTTAGGAATAAATTGCGTATTTGAGTTCGTCTATGAGAAAACTCTTTTGCTGAAATTTCATAACAAAATTTCATAAAATTTTAGAAATTCGTCTTAAAACTTTGAATTGAAAAGTTTACCATTTGCGACACTTCACATCACATTTCACATCACCTCTCGAATCTCATAAACTTTTTACATTCTCTATCCTCTCAGATGAGTAGGAATTAGCAACATTCTACTGGCTTTCAGGCACAGTCGCCCACTGGTAATTGGGGTGAATGGTCACCAGCCTATTTTGCAACGACACGTTCTACTGAAGATGGACCAATACCTGGGAAATTACGATTGGTGTCTGCAGGGCACGATAACCTTCGTGTGAACTGGACCGCACCACCGGCTGTCAAAAGTGTTGTCGATCAATATTTGGTAGATTTTGCTTTATCCAATTCGGAGACTCTTGCTTGAAATATTTAAATACTTTTAAAGTTTAATTTGTGTGTTTAAGTGTTAAATATGAATTAATTTTTATAAATTTCAGGTCGATATATCGCTAGCTAGCTCTTCTGATGAGCATCCGAAACAATTTACTGTACATGGTGGACAAAATGATTATCATTTTCATGGATTGGAACCAGCAACACACTATAATATTACAGTACAAGGTTTATCAGAAGGCAAACGGATGTGGTTCATAACGGAAGTTTTCCCAACTACCGATTATGGTATTTAATTGCTAATAACTGATTTTACAATATTTCCGATTTTATCTCCGGGAACTTAATGCACTGCGGATATTGCTTTTATTCAATTCATTTTTGTGTTTTTTTAAATTGGTTTTGAATTTGTTGCAAAAAAAATTGAGGCTTACAAACTTTAGCCAATTTTGATACCATTAGTTATTTGTATTTTAGGAAGTGGTTTGCTTTCTTGGTTACCACCGCCAACAGATTTGAAATTGCTAGAAAAATCAGACCGATCCATGCATGTAGCATGGAGTCCACCGGAAATTTTTGATCCAGCCTATAAAGATCTGATTACTCATTATCTGGTAAATTATTAAAATTAAATTTAAACTTGTTAACTTTATACGACTCCTGATCGAACCGGATGATCACATTATTTCTTTATCCAATTTAAGAATGCATTCATTCATATTTTGCAGCAGTTCGTCTAAATTCAATTAAAATTTCAGGTAACAATAGCACCATTTGATCCAAACACCGGTGTAACTGGTCGACCACGTAATTACTCAGTACCATTTCCGGGAACATCAATCAAATTTGATGATTTGACACCGGAAACAATTTACAATATTACGGTACAGGCTGGTACCAATAGTGGTTACGGTGAAATATTATGGGGTACCTATAGTACACTCGCACCAGGACAGAATCACGTATTACGATTACTGGATCGTACGCCAACAACATTGACAGTTGAATGGGAACCAACATTCCTCAGTGACCGAGGATATACCGTGTGTTTTTGAAACTTGCACTTCTCTTTACCGTGATGAGGCCGTAAATTTGATTCTTGATCTTATAATTTTGATTTGTCTCAGTAAATCCATTATGAATTTTTCAGCTTTCATGGGAAAGTTTACATTCTGCTTTCAAGCATGTTCCCATCAATGCAATCCATTCTTCCGAAATTCCTGCTGGTACAACTCAGTATACTATCGACGACCTGGAACCTTCAACGATTTATAATGTCACCTTAGAAACACGACCAGGTGGTAAAGTAGCTTGGGGTGCATATGCTACTTTACCTCCAGGATGGTTTATGGTGCGTAATTTGGTATGGTGTGATCGAACCAACTATGCTCTATCATTAACCTGGGAGCCAGTGAACCTAAACAAAGCAACACACTACCAAGTACGATACCTGAGGTTTAAGGAACATGATGCTATCTGGACGGAAGAAAATGAAGTCCGTGATATAGATTTACTTTGTCCTAAAGATGGCTGTAATCGACATTGCTATCTTGTCTTTAATCTTCCTCACAATCCAAATGAATACGTTTTTCAAGTACGAGCTAAGGTACGTCAGTTTTATGTTAAAGAATCAATTTCACCACTTATGTTACGATAGAAATCAATTGTGCTATTCCAGTTGGATGATGTGATATTCAATTCTTAACCTTTATGCTTTTATTCTTAACCTTCTTAGCCTTTCTGATGTTTCAAAATATCTACTTATATCATAAAATGTTATATCAGTGATTAGCTCTTTCCTGACAAATTACTCTAACATTGTCTATTGATATGTTCATAATTACTGATAGCTTTAATAACAGAGAGTAATTGATAGATAAAGTTGATCAAATTAAGAAATAGCATAGAATTTGAACATTTAAAGGTGAACAATCAATGGAATCGATGGAGGACAGTTGGAAAACCAAGCGTTATTGAGAAATCAGAGCGGAAAAAAGGATGTTGCATTGTACCACCACCATATATGGTTGAAAATATCGGTGTACCTGGAACGTATTGGGATGTAGACATTTCACCGGTTGAATCACAACCAGAAAATATTTCGTCAGTTTTATTTAATGATCAACGTCTTTTGGTCTAACTTTATGATTATGCGCTGTTATCTTGATGATCGTCATAATTTCATCTTTAAGATTTTCTTTTTAAATACTGATACTTTTATTTGCCAAAAAAGTACCTTTAAGAGGACATGTGATGGAAGTTTGTAAAATTTCGGCTCTTTTATTAATTATATTCATTGTTTAAAGGCCTAGCAACAAGTTTTTTCAGACGTTACTATGTCGTCGTTGATGAACGTGAACCAGCTGGTAGTACTAATTGGACTGAACTAACAGACAAAGTTACGGCAAATAAAATGAATATTCCTTATTATGTAGCAGCATCTTACAATGCTGATACACTATCTGAACCAGGAAAAGTTAGCATTGGCGATGGATCAGTGATCGGTGGCTATCTGAATTATCCATTGGTAAAGGGTAAAAAGTATAATTATGAAATTTACTCAGTCTGGGAACTGGATGGTAAACCAGCTGCTGTGGCACGTCAACGAGGTTAGCTAATTTATATTAAGCATTTTATTTCATGATATGCATTTACATTAGCTATTAAACTACCTAGTCAGATCTGATTTCTTGAATATTTCTAATTTTTCTTGAAATGGTCACAAATAAGTTATTTCTGAATTAGCGATAGATGCCCTCTATCATCATATTATGTTTTATCCTTAAGTTTGCGCATTTTCAGTTCCATTAGTTGCTTTATAGAATATTTGAAACTATTCCGGTTCTTTAATAGTATAATGTGTAGGTGTGTCGGATAGATTGCCCTATATTTTCTCCTGACTTGTTACAATATTTTCGAATTTGCTGGAATGAATCGAAGAAACAGTCTGCGATATGTATGATAGAATACAGATTGTGCCGCCATCCGCTTTCTATTTCAATTTCCATTCCATTTTAACGAAATATTAAAAATTCTATTCAGACAATTAACATTAAAGCACTGAGGTCATTAAAATAATACTGAAAAGATACTTTATCCCGAAAGAATTAAAATTTGTAATGAAAAGGATTTGATAAAAAGAAATGGTAATAGAGAGAGAGAGAGAGGAAGGAAAGAAGGGAAAGTGAAGATGGAACGCGGTATTTGAGACTTTTTCTTAAATGTTATTTGAGAGATGCTAATTGATAGAAGCTAAAAGCTTTCATTCATTGATAGCTCCTAATAATGTATTAATTTATTCTTAAAACTATTTTTGTATTATTTTGAGCGTTCTTTTTTAATTTTTTAATTCTTAAAATATTTTGTTTTGTAAAAAAAATTTATAATTCTGAAGCGAAAATTTTCGAAAACAAAAAATTGCAATAAGTTTTAGAGCTGATATACGAGTTATTATAGTTCATGTAAATCATTAGAATAATCCAATTGTAAAAATGCACAATATTTGGTTATGTTAATATCCGGACATGTTACTTGGGTACTTGTGATAGCCGTTAAGTCATCATTTCATTTTACTCATTCTTTTTGCTAACTGCAGATAGCTGAAGCTTCTTTATTGCAACCTTTCAGTGAATTCGATTTATGCAAAATGTCCAAATATTCTGACAATAACTATTCGCATAACGAATGAGATTCCATTTACTGTAATAAGTAAGAATAATGGAGAACGAATCATTGTAATAAATCAATGAATTTTGATTATAAGAGATGAAATATTTCTCTCTTTTGTAAGTGCTGCAGCAATTTTATGATTAATAATGTTACCAGCAGAGGAATTATTCAACAAAAAAAAGAGATTGAAATTGAAGGTTGTCAGTTTTAAGTAGCAATAATTGTGAGAGTTTCATCTCATATTTAGTTCACAATTGACTAGAAAAATAAAATTTCAAAAAGACTAGTACCACCTGGCACTCTTTCATTCATTTGTTGCATAATGGTTGAATGATTAAAAGTTTATAGTTTAGCAATAGCAATTAATTTAATTATTCATTCATCACATCTTCATATATAAAAATGATTTTGATGGTATAGTTCTTTTTTTACATTTAAAGAAATAATTGACGATGCATTGTGGAATTATCTGTTTCTTTATTTTGCACTAAGTTCTTATCAATTGATAAATATTTGTAAAGTACTGATGATGATATGATATGATAGGATTGGATGAAAGTATTATAAAATTACATCTGAAATTATTACTTTAATTAGCTTATTTATGCAAATTATAGTCTAAATATTATAATTAGCTATAATTAGTCTAAATGTGCATTATTATGTGATTTTAAATCAAAGGTATAATTTGTAAAGCTAAAAATAATTGCAGGAAATCAAAGTTAATTATTTTTTAAGAAAACACAATGAAACGGAGTATAATTTATGTTAAGAGAAAATTTGTAAAGAAAAGAAAAGATCTTTGCTAAATGTTAAATATCTCAAAGAAAGATATATTAGCGATATTTAATTTACTAAAAATAAATTTCTTGTTCTTTAGTGACTAAAACTAGTAATCAGTTACATTCTTTTAGAGAGCATTAAAACCAGCTATATTCCAGTTATTTTCCGATATGATCCAATAATAATTAATCTTTGATGTAATACAGATATAAGCTAAAGAATAATTTATCATAGGAAAGAATAATTTGTCAATAAACAAATCTCCTAAAAATATACGTTTTTATTATATTTTGATGCTAAATAATCATCCCTTTCATATATTCGCTCTTCTTTAATAATATCTCGAAATATCATATCCGCATTCCGCTCTTCTATTTTCACATTTCATTGGAAAACTCGTTATCTACATAAAATATTATTCTGATATAAACTATTTAGCTAGTGATAAATTTACATAAAATTTCAACAATTATGTAAAAATTTCTACAATCATCTAAGTAACTTAGCATTATTATAGATATGTTAAATTGTTTCTTTTTAATATACTAATAAGGGAATGAACTATTACTATTGAGTATTTAAAGTTACCGGAAGAGGTCATTTTTTTTCTTTATCAGTAAATGATGAACAGGATGATTATCGATCACTTAATACCAAAAAGATGATAAATTCAATTAAGTGTTTTGATAAGATAATTTTAGAAATGAGATGAGAGGAGGAGAAGGAGGTATGTTATTGGAAAGAAATAAAATAAAACTGCAGAAAAATCACTTTAGTTATTATTCATTCATCGTTGTGTGCTCAACATGAAAGACAAACGAATATAAGAAGAATGAAGTAGACAGATGGCATACAGACTACACAACATATTTTAAATTTAAAAAAATGATTTGTTTATGTTTCACTGCTACTTCATACCGCAATATTGTATTATTGGCATTCAATATATATGATAGGAATTCTTTTTTTCTCGAGAGGTTAGTGCATTAAAATAGTGAACTGAATCTCTCCTTGTTCCCACCCCCTATCAAACCCCGCTCCAATCTTGTTTATCGGTGAAGAAGCAAACTATGGAGGGTTGATGATGATGATTGTTTGGTACTGGTCGCGGTCATAGAAGTGGTATGATGATTACAGCAACAATATAGTAGTGTGTGCATTATCTATCTGAACCAATTGGTTGGCACATGGTGAAGCGGAGGGTAGCTACCAATTTTGGATTGAACTTGTCTTTCTTCTTCCTTACCTATCTTATTTCACAATTACATTCCAATCCAAACAACGATGAGTGTATGGCCTGATGGTACGCCTTCTTTCTTTCTTTTTCTTCTTTGAATCATAATATCAAGTTATTATCAGTTTATTAAAATATTAACACTTACTTCAAATCGATCGTTCATTGTAAGCACTAAGAAATTATGAATCATTTTCATTTGATATTTCATCATCTCTTCTACATTGCTTTACTTTATTGTTTGTGATAGAAGTCATTGTTGAAATATATTTTAATTTTTAATCTTTTTGAGAAATAGTAAAATAAGAGAGAAAGATATTCTTATTTTAAATTAGCTAAGTAAGTCTTTTAAAAAACTGGTATGAATGGAGAAATTAATGTGAGCCTTTTTCTTCAAGAAAATCCGACAGCTAATATGGTTACTTTTAATGGGTGTGAAAAAAAAGATCTTAAGATTGCTAATTGCTTCAGAGAGGTAGGCTGGTATTTATTTGGTCTATTATGTACTAATTATCGTGATGTTTGCAAGTTTGTTTCCTTAATTATCCATTTCAATTTCTTCATGAACAAATTAATGTTTAAAATTTATTTTTATGCCAGCTGTTTTCATGATAAAATAGCCAAGCATAAATACATAATGATAGGTTGTTGCCGCTACTTTGAATCGTTCGGTTTTTGATTTATTAACTTTGGCAGTTGTCCGTAATGAATTTACAACCTCTGGATGGTCCCAAACCAAATCGTGTTCAACTGTCTGCTTCCTATTTTTATTTTCGGAATCTCAAAAATCTTCTATACTAACATGAAATTCAGCTTTTCCATAGCCTAATTCAAATTAATATAATGAAGCGATATATTTATACAATCCATTTGATATTTCCAAAATAATTTCCCGCTTAATGTCATAATGAATTCTATTTAACTTTATCTTTAATTTTTATTTCATTTTTCAAAACTGATTTAAAATTGTAGTTTTGTTGAAGTTTATTTTTTTTTTTTATAGTCAAACATTTTTGAATTTTAGCTACAATTTAACTTCTTTTGACGTTAATTTGCACCAATGTAAATTTATAAATTTCATATTTTGGCAATTTTAGATTTTAGAAAAAACTGAAAAAATGAAATTTCAGCAAGTCCGTATGCGATTTCTGGATGGCCATGGTGGTGGCTACTACCTCTACTTCTCCTATTGCTACTACTGATTCTTCTCACATGTTGTCTGCTTTGGTGTTTGCAAGGGTAATTATTTCATCTTTATGCAAATTTCCATTTTTTACCTTTTCAAATTCGCCATTTAAAATTAGAAGATTTTAAACATAATTTTGATTCAGTAATGGAATTATTTGACTGCAACTTATTTATGTTACATTTTTCAAAGATTCATTAAATATTAATCAGAATTTGTTCGCTTGAATTTTCGTGATTCTGAATCAAATTTGAAACTAATGATTATTGAATTTTTAATTCTCAAATTAGCATGTACATTCTGAATTGTCATTTTTCAATTTACTTATTATCTTACATTTGAATTAAAATAATTATTTTAGGCATATTATTTGTTTCAATTAATTGTTGTATCATTTACTGTTATTAGTATTAAATAATTTTAAGTTCTTAATCTAAAATTAACGCAGGAAATGAAATGACATTTATTTTAATCGCATTTTCAATTTTGACCTCCAAATTATAGATAGATCTTTTTCTGTAGCATTTTGTAAATGACTGGGAATTAAAAATGAAATATATCAATTCAACACCGAAAGAAGGGCATTGTGCGATAATGATAACATTTCAGTAGTCGTAGTATTATGACATATGTTGCAACACGATTTTCCGTTACATACATCTTTTCAACGTAATTGTTGCATGGATAGAATATTCATTAAATCTTTTTTATTCTCTCTCTTTCTCTCATTCGTTCCATTTGT